AACCTGGGGGCGTGGCACTAGGTGAGACGCAGCCCCTCTGCTCAGGGCTCACTGGCTCTGGGATGGCTGAAATACAGCGGTGGCTGAAAAACATCCGGAAGCATAACAAGTCCACGGGAGGTGGCTTATTAAAAAGGCAGATTTGGGCCCCGGCTGGTTTGGCTCAGTGGATAGAGCGTCGGCCTGCAGACTGAAGGGTCCTGGGTTTGATTCTGCTCAGGGCACACGTCTCGGTTGTGGACTCCATCCCCAGTCGGGGGGGGCGAGCAGGAGGCAGCCAATGAATGGTTCTCTCATCATTGATGTTTCTCTGTCTCTCTCCCTCTCCCTTCCTCTGAAATCAAAAAAATATATTTTTTTAAATCAACATGCCAAGCACAAAACTTTGATCCTCTTCATTCCCACCTTTGAAACTTTAAATTAAAAAAAAGAAAAAAGTTTTAAAAATCTATAGATATAAAAGCCTAAGCGGCCATTTGACTGGTAGCTATGACGCGCACTGACCACCAGGGGGCAGGTGCTCAACGCACAGGCATGAAAAACTGGAACAGACTGGTGAATCTCAGAGGGAAGAGGGGGAGGGTGGGAGGAGATGAACCAAAGATCGTATATGTATATGTATATGTATATGTATATGTATATGTATATGTATATGTATATGTATATGTATATGTATATGTATATGTATATGTATATGTATATGTATATGTATATGTATATGTATATGTATGACACCCCCTTCCTCCTAAAGTCACGGGGCTGACTCATTTCCTGCAGCTCAGCAGCCACCTCCTCCTGGACCTGATCTTGTCTCTGCCCCCCTGACCCCCAGACCACACTGTCCCATTGCCCTGCTCTTACTTCTTTCATAGCAAGAACAGTGGTGGAAACATGAGCAGAGCAAGGACGATGAGGCCAGCGACAGAAGGTCACCAGGGCAGAAAGCCCAGGGTGCCTAGCAAAGGGTGATGGCAGGGTGGGGCCTCACCCCCCGCCGTGACCTTTCCTCCCCTAGCATCTCCTGGTCCAACAGTTTGGACCCCAGACCCTACCCCCCCCTAAAGATAACACCGAGGCCTCCATTGTGTGTCAGCTCCAGGCCCAGCAACGAAGCAAAACCAAAAAACCAGAGGAATGGCCCCGTGGCTGCCTCAGGACCAGCTGCCTCCACTAATGACCCCCTGCCCCGCCCTGGCCCCAACCGGCCAATCGGGGGAGGCCTAGACCCTGAAAGGACGCACCTGGAAAGCTGCTGGATAGTCTGCTAAGACCCTCCCCTGGGGGCCTCCCTCCCCGGAAGTCTCCACCCTCAAAACACTAAGGATGGAGGACCCAGTGTGCTCTCTCTCTCCCAGGAGCACGCCTGTGCCTGGCCCGTGGCCCCCCTCCTCCCGCCCTCAGGGCCTGTGACCATCACCTTTCCCTCTGTCCCTCGTGGCCCAGCTCAGGGCCGGGCCCCAGACCCTGCGTGAGAGGCTGAGATCGCAGACCACACGGGCTCCGCGGAGCACAGCACTCCCAGCGCGAGAACCTGGGAACGCTTCCAGGCGGCAGCCTGACCCCGGCGCAGAAGGTGGTGTCTGGTATGAGGTCCCTGGTGGCCCGCAGCCTGCGGTGGCTGGGAAAATGCCCCGGCTGCCCTGTGCTCGCAAGGCCTTCTCATGCTGGGCCGGCCGGACTGCGGGGGATTCCTGGCATTCCAGGGCTTTTCTGGGGAGGCAGCCTCCTTCCCACAGACAGGCCTCTGGAGGGAGGATTGGGAAAGCACGGGTTGTGTCTGGACTGAGTGACACCAGCCCCAACCCACCCCCATCCACCCCCGTGAGGCTTGGCCACGTGGTAGGCGCATTGCATGGGAGAATCTGCTTATCCGCCATGGCCTGGGGAGCTGGCCCCCAAGCCTGCAGCTCCCGGTGCCCCATACAGGAGAGCGCTCAGGAGCTAGGAGGATAAGGAGGCTCCAGCCCCAGCCGTGCTGCCCGCCCTCTTGCTGGGCTGCCTGGTCAGTCAGTCACTGCCCTGTCTGATCCTCAGACCTTCCTCGTGGATTCTGACGGAACCCACACCTGCCCCGGGGACAGGAGAAACCCCAGGTTCGTAAAAGAGGGATTGGGGGCCCATCACATGCTGGGGGGTTGGGAAAGACAGTATTATCCCCATTTTACAGGTGGAGAAAGTGAGGCCCAGAAAGGTGAGGTCACCAGCCTTAAGTCACAGAGCCAGTGAGGATGGATCTGGCCGCTGCTGGCTCAGCGTGGGCACATCCCACTCCCAAGGCTCCACTGGCTCCCAGTTTCGTTCATTCAACATCATCTTCTTGACCTCTGGCCCTGTGAAAGCACGGTGCTAGCTCCATGTTGGATTCCCTCTGCTTCCATCCTAGTTCATAACTGGCTACCTATGGCAACGCTACTCTTCTGAGTGTTTCATGAGTTAACATGTACGAACCAGGTGGTACAGAGCCTGGCACACGGTAGGTGTTCAGGAAATAGCAACAGCCCTTTGATGTCAACCCCGGTGGACCAAGGCAAGGGGTTGGGAGGTAGAAGGAGGGGGAATGGTCTTGCCTACAGGCAGAGCTCACAGCGTCCGCTGGTTCTTGGAATCTTCTAGACCTCAGGAGGAGAGCATGAGGGGACCCTGGGTTGCCAGAATCACCAGTGTGGCCAAAGAGAAGTGTTCCTTGCCAGGAGAAGCATAATGAAATCGAAGCCGAAGTCACAGTTGGCCCATTTTGCAGAGAAGAAAATTGAGGCTTAGAGAAGGGAAGTCACCTGGCGTGGCTTAAGCACAGAGACCTCAGAGATGCTATGCTCAGCTGCATGCTCTCCAGCCTCTTCCCTTCCCCAGTCCATGCCACGTCCTAACAAATCCCCTACCCAGTGGCATAAAACATAAAACTCTGGAAGCCAAAGAGCATCCACCATAGAGCGTCCCCAGAGACACCCAGAGTGTAACCCCGGTTTCTAAGAGGTGGTCTTGGTGCAATACCGCCACCTCCTGGCCGTGCCTAAGAACTGCAGCTCTGGCTTGTCCACCTTGAGCATTGCCGTGACCTCCTCCGGAGTGCCCACCATCCGCATCCCCATCTCCCATAAAACTGGCCTGATGGACCTTGGAGCAGCATTAGCTATTTTATTTCCATTGACAAGTTGTCCCCCTCCTTCAAAGCTTTGCTTGTGTGTCATTTCTTCCAGGAAGCGCTGTCCCCGCCTTCCAGAGCCCGTGGAGACCAGGAGAAGGGAAGTTAGCCCCAAAAGCTCACCACAGGTAAGTTGGCAAAGCTGGGACTCAGACCAGGTTTCTCAGGAAGCTCAATCCTAGGACTGACTTCAAAGTCATTAAAAAGACCCCAGCAGGCTGGGCTTGAGAAAAATCCTGAAGATGCATCCCAAAGAGAGATAGGTGATCATCTAGCAGTGTCTGCCCTGGGTGCTGGAAGGGAGGGTAGCAATGTGTGTGCTGTGTATTTGCCAGCCCTTCATCACCACGCCCTAAACTCTTTCTATCTGTTTCCCTCTCACCAAAGAGCTCTTTGCCTTCCCAATGAGGAATAAGCCTCCCAAACCCACTTTTCTTTGAAGAACCAAGTGATATTGTTCTTGGTTTGGTGCACAGATCGTGCACAGGTGGGTCTCTCGGCCTGGCCTGCAATCGGGGTCAATTGGGGCCATTTCACCCAATCCTGATTGGGGCAATCAGGGCCAGCCAGGAGTAGGAACCATAGGAGGTGCCCTGTCTGATCCTCAGGCTGTTGGAGTGCACTGACCACCAGGGGGCAGCTCCTGCATTGAGCATCTTTCCCCTGGTAGTCGGTGCATGTCATAGCAGTCAACCAGTCATAACGGTTGCTTAGGCTTTTATATATAAACTAGAGGCCTGATGCATGAAAGTCATGCAAGGGGGGCTTGCCTCAGCTTCGTCCAGAAGGTTGTCAGGAAGGACGTCTGGCCTAATTAGCATATTATGTTTTTATTATTATAGATATTGAGCGTGGTTCTGCATGATGGTTGCACAGCCCAGTGTGAATGTACTTCGTGCCACTGAATCGTACACTTGAAATTATGAAGGTAGGTAACTTTTATGGTATGTGCCCTTTCCCACCATTGAAAATAGGAGTACCCGACTGTATTGACTTCGAAGGTGCTGGTCTTGAAAGACCGGCTGACCGAGCCCACTCCTGCTCCTTTAAAATCCACTGGTTCCCCCTCCCCCAACTATGCATCCCTTTCGCCAGCTAAGAAACAGTCATCCTTTGGGTGCGAATCTGCTTTTAATATCAGGGTGGTGTTTACACAGAAGATGGGACGTTTATGGGAGAAGACAAAGAGCCCCGTTCATACGCCAGTGCTGGATCCTTGTAAAAACCGGATTTTCATCTACAGCAGAATTCCAGTCCCCATGCTGGGCGGCCATCCCCCCCTCCGCTCAATAAGTCAGCACATGTGACGTCCCAGCCCTCACACAGGTTCCACAGCCGTCCCCTCCCTCCTGCTGCCGATTGGAGGATTAGGATCCTTTCTTTTCAGACTGGGTGGCCAGCTCCCAGCTCATGAGAACCTAAGGCGCTTGGGTTCAGGGGACTCAAGGCCAGAGCGAACACCAGCAGGCTCGGGCTGGGAGTGGGAGGATACTAGGTCAAGGACAGACGCACACAAGGCCGTCATCAGTCTCTATGGTGGCCTCGTCCCATTTTCCTGTCTCTGGGGACAGCAGGTCCATTGCCCACCGAGTCACATTTCCCTCCCCAGGGCCAGGCTCAGCCTCTCGGAAGCTCACTCCTCCACCCTTGCAGCCCCACTTGCAACCCCCCTTTTCCCCCCACAAAGGGCTCCATTCCAACGAGACTTTTAGACTTGCAGCTTGACCATACCACAGGAGCCCTGGGGCGACGGGATCTCGAGGCAGCTCCTCTCCCAGCTCCCAGAGCAGTGCTTGGCACATAGTAGGTCCTCAGCAGCGTCAAATCTATGTAGTTCAATCAAGAGGAGTTTCCCAGAATGGAAAGTTTTGCACTTCCTGCTTTAAGTGAAATGGGGCAAGGCCGCCACCAGAGGGCAGCAGGCATGGGTTTCCCCAGCGCAGACGCCAGCCCATCCCCAGTGCTGCCAGCAGCCCCTGCACCTTCCACCAGCTCTTCCTGGTGCGCTCTCCTCTGGTTCCCTTTGCAACCCACCCGGGCCTCACTGCGCTGCCAGCGCCACTCGGTTAGCTCGGCTGCGTCTGTGACTGCTGGAGCGGCTCTCACCCCAGACCAGCATCCAGTGACCAGAGCGCTTTGCCCGCCAGGCCTCCAGGCCGGCCTCTGACCGTCCCTGAGCTGATCCCATCCTCTAGGCCCTGCATGAGCTGCCCTCTCCCACACACAGACCCTGACTACCGGAGGGAGCCAGCAAAACTGGTCCCTCTTCCCATGACCACCTCGACTTGATGCCACCACCACCCCCCCCAAATCCCCAGCCTCTCCCAGGAACCCCTGGCCTTGTGGCTTTCCCTCTCTGCTCCCAAAGGACCCTTCCTCGGCCCTTCCAAACTCCCTTCCAGCTGGATACCCCCATCATCTCAGTGCAACTAAATTGCATAGACTTTAGAAGCAAAGGCTGGGCTAATTCACACTAGGGTGTAAATGGGTGATGGATTTACACCACTTCTGAATATTATACTCCAAAGTGTAACGCCCTAGGGCTTCCAAAACTGAAATGTCCCCAAATCAAGGACTCTAGGCCCTGGGCTGGTGACAGACGACTTCATATGTCACCGCCCAGTCTCTGTACACACCAGAGAGGCATTTGGGGGGGCTACCAACACTGCACCCACTCATTTTGACTATTGCAACTATGAGACTATTGTTCAAAAGGACCAGAACCCAAATGCAGATTATCAGGGTTTATAGAATGTGTCCAGTGGCCAATACCTCGCAAGGCTGACTGTGCTCCTGACCCCACCCCCTCGGACACCTCTCCTCCGTGGAGCCTGCACCACACACCCAGCCCTGCGCCTCCCTTTCGGGGGTACCCTGGTCTTTACTGACGGCAGATGGCTCTGACCCAAGTCCAAGGCTATTACTACTAGCTACACCTCTCCCTGTGTCAGTCAACATTGCCAAACGTGGGTTAGCCCCGCCCCAGCCATGCCAGCATCCAAGCTGTTCATAGTAATGGTAGCCAGGAGGGTTAGACCTGCTGTTAGTCAGAAGGAAATCCACAAGCCGTTAGTTTCTGCTGGAAGGAACAGACTGGGAGGGCAGGAGTTAGTGGAGGCGAAGGAGAGGTTAATGAAGAGCCGGTCAGAGCCAGGCCAGGCGCCTGGAACCCCCCCAGGTGGGCAGGGCTGGCTGTTAGTGAGTAGTCAGCCCCCTGAGGAGATGGGGGGGGGGGGGCAGCCAGGGCAAGGCCGGGGTTAGCTGGGTGAGAGGAAGAGTTAGTGCGAGGGAGCCAGAAATCAGCCCTTAGAGACCAAGGTGCCTCCTGGAGGTGAGGCATACCTTCACCCCCAGGTGTGGCCTGGCCTAGCGGCTGGCGGGCTCTGGGGGAGGCCGGCGGGGCCTAGGGTGTGGGTAGGAGCAGCGCGGGGAGCCAGGGGGGGAGCTGCAGGGCTCTGAGGGGCTGCAGGACCCTGCAGGGGCCCTGGGGTTCACGTCTTGCTTCCCACAGGTCCTCCTGCAAACTCCAAACCCGGGGCAGATTTGCTTAGTTCCCAGGCCTATGGACTCCCGATGTGGGAGAATCGGATATCCCAGCCTCGGGTTTGGGGGAAAGGGCCCCTCCAGCCCACTTCCTGTTGCAGGAGCAGCCCTTCTCATTGGTCTCTGGGCCATTACTTCCCACGGCCCACCCATTTTAAGGCCCAAAGTTCCCCCTCTGGGTAACTTCCGGCAGAAGTTCCCCTCTGAGTAACTTCCGGCGGCGGAAGTTTCCCCTCTGGGTGACTTCCGGCGTAGGAAATGCCCTTCTTCCCCTCCTTCAAATAGGGCAATGCCCCCTCTGGCTGCCTTTCTGCACTAAATGCTCTCCCCATGATGTCGAGTTTGGGGGAAAAAATTTCTACTGACTTCCGGTGTGGGGACCCCCGCCCTCCCCCATTGACTCCTGTACAGCCTCAAGCCGTCCAACTTGCCAAAGGGGAAGATCCTACCTGCGCTGCCCTGCAAAGAGGGGCACCAGGCCCTTCTTTCTGCCCCCTTGGCTGGGCAAGGCCCAGTGCTCCACACTGTAGACCCACAGGCCTCCACACCCCCACCCCCGAGGACTCCCTGGTCCCACCCCATCCCAGTGGCAACCAGACTCCACCCAGGAGAGGGGCTCGTGCCCAGAGGCCAGCCTCCGGGGTGCACACGACCTCCCCTCCTCCTCCTCCGGGCCACTGGGGTGGTCAGTGGGCTTTCCCCCAGCCTCAGACCGGCCCAAGGGACTCAACTCGCCGCCAATTGGGGCAGCCAAGCACATGGACTTGCCAAGGGCAGGTAGGACCAGCCCCCAGGGGGGCCCAGAGCTGGGCAGGTTTGGGGTTAGTAAGAAGAGAAAAGGGTGTTAGTAGGGGGCGGGTTAGTATGTCAGAGCACAGCACCAGCAGACAGGGGCACCTCAGCCACACACACGGGAGCCACTAGGAGAGAAGGAAAGACACACGCGGGCCCGTTAGTCTGTTAAGGGGCAGTCAGGGTGCACGCAAGGCACCCCCCAGGTTAGGCAGGTTAGTAACCAAACGAAAGAGCTGCCTACAGGAGAGAAAGCTGAGGAGGAAGAGTGGGGGGGAAAGACGGTTAGGGATTCCAAGCGAGCGTATGGCCCCAGGCAGCGGGTTCTGTGTGCAGGTCACCCAGAGGGGCCAGGGCCTGGGCAGGGGGGGCATGATCAGCCAGGTTGCCTGGGCCTCCCACCCCCCACCCCAACCCTTTTTTTCTTACGTTTCTGCTAGGCGCCAAGACCTTACTCCTCACAGGACTCCTCCCTGAAACCTGAGAGGTAAGGACCAGGCCGCCCACGCTACTGCTTCACATTCAGAGAGGTGCGGTGACTTGCTCAAGGTCGCCCAGCGGGAAGTGCTATCGCCTGCCCCGCCCCGGAAGATGGGTCTGCACACAGATCCCGGGCCACGGGCGGGCGGGGACTGCTGGAGCCTGGTCTGCCCCCGAATCCCAGCCCCTTTCAAGGCCCTTGAGCTGCAAGGTTAGTAGGGTCCGGCTGCGGGGAGTTAGTAGGGCATGCTCGGGCCTGGTTAGTGGGTTAGTTGGCTGGCAGAAGGCCAGGCACCTAGTCACACGCCGCAGCGTCCCGGCCCCGCCATGGGTTAGTAGGTTAATCACACCATGCAACGCCGCCCGGGGCCCTCAGGCTGCAACCCGGGTCCTCCAGCTGCAGCCCGGGCCCTTCCCGCCCCCACCAGCCAGCGAGCCGGGCCTGACCAGGGCAGGGGTCTGCCTCCCAGCCCCTTTGCCCACCAGAGCCAAGCTGCTGCTTGACTGTGGGCCTCAAAGACCCTCCCACCAAACACTCACCAAATTCCTCCCACCAAACACCCCAGTTCCCCCGCAAATAGAGCCTGCTGGTCCTGGCTGGAAACCGCCTGCTTCTGGTCAGCCCCTTCCCGAGGGCTGGGTCCTGTCACACACACACACACACACACACACACACACACACACACATATATGCACACACCAGCATCTTCCCACCAAAGGCCAGTTGCCCCCAAACCACTATCTCCAGTGGACACTAGCCACTAGCCTGTCTCCTTCTCCTCCTCTTCCTCCCAAAGCCGCAGAGAGCACCCAGGGTCACCCTAGCCAGGGAGGGGGTGGTGAAGAGGAGATGGCTCCTGCTTTTCATGTGTGTGGTGACCCCCCCCCCCATTACAGACTATACTTTGTCCCTCCCCAAAACCATAGGTCTAAGCCATAACCCCCAATGTGACTGTTATTTGGAGATGGGGCCTTCAAGAGGTAATTCAGGTTAAATGAGGTCATAAGGGTGGGGCCCTAACCTGATAGGATTGGTGCCCTTATGAAAAGAGGAAGAGGCATCAGATTTACCCCTCTCCGCCTGCACCCGCTAGGTGTGTGCCCAGAGAAAAGGCCACGTGAGGACACCAAGAAGGTGGCCGCCTGCAAGCCGAGGAGAGAGGCCGCAGGAGAAGCCATCCCTGGCACCTGGATGGACTTCCAGCTTCTGAACTGTGAGGAGATAACGTTTGTGCTTCCCATCTGCCCTGGCCGCTGGAGTTGACTGACACAGGCCCCGCCCACCCTGGGGAAACTAGGTCTAGCTTTAAACTTGTCCAAGAGAGTTGGTGCCCTGGCAGTTTTCCTGCGGGCACTGGGACCAGCCCCTCAGGAAGTGGCTGGAATGAATAGAGGATGGAGAGGTGGGCGTGGAGGTGAGCCTGTGCTTGCCTGCGTGGGCCCTGCCCTGCCTGTCTTTGCCCCCCATGGCAGGATCGAGGCTTGTTATGAGCAGCAGGGGACTGAGATCCAGCCCATTCCCTTTGGGTGGCGGGAATGAGGCCCAGTGTCCGGCTCCTTCCTTCCGGCCAGTCCCCTGGCCTCGGTCTCCTCCTCTCTTGGAAACAAGCCCTCTACTTTCAGGAGCACACACCAGTTGCTATCCCCTCCCCACACACACAACTACCCTCACCACCAGCAGCCCCTCCAGGAGCCCATAACATGGGGAGAAGGCCCAGGCTCCTCCCAGGCGCTGACTGCCTCCTCCCAGTGACCATCGGAAAGAGGAGATGCCCGAGACAGTGCCCCCGGAGCCTCGCCTGCCCTCCCTCCCTCTGGCAGCTCCTCGCCACTCCCATCCCCTGTTCCTGCCCACCCACCCCCCATTTGGTAGGGTCCCCGAGACCTGGTCTTGGGGAGGGTGCAGTCAGGGCCTCTGCCTCAGCCACGCTCCCTCTCAGCCAAGGGGGAGCCAAGTCTGCCCAAGGTCAGGAAGTGACCTCCAGGCCCAGATGGGATGGCCCAGAACGGAACATGGGCAGCTGGGCTGCCCTTACACCCTCCAGCTGGCCTCCCTAGCCAGGTCCCGATTTCGCTGACTCGCCACCAGGGGACCCGTTATCCATCCACGAGATTCTGCCTCCCAGGAGGTGGGAAGAGTGGAGTCCTGGGAGAATTGTCCAGGCTTCCAGAAAACCGACGGAGGCTGCTCCCTGTGTCCCAGCGGCCAGGTTCCCCGGCTCCAAAGACAAGACCAGGTCGGCGTCCTGAGCGCGCGGAGCCACCTGGGGAAGGCATGAGCGAGAGGATAAGGACACAGCCTCCAGCCCCAGCCCCCCAGCCTCCCAACCGTACCCCACATCTGAGCGCGGGCACCCTCCTGTGCCCCCAACACCTAGATAGGATGCGGGCCGGGGCTCCAAACACTACTAGGAACAGGAAATGAGGAGAGCCATGGATGCCTGCCTTGAGAGGGCCAGCTCGGAGGATGGAGAAGCAATAAGGGGAACCCAGAGCTGCCCCGTGGGTATTAAGAGAGAAGGAGCAAGGGTTCCGGTGGTCAGAGAGGGCCTCAGAGTCCATGGGAGGCCTGGGTTCCTTCCACAACATCCCCTCCGAGGAGACTTCTGCAGCCCCCTCCCGAAATACACCCCCTCCACACACATGCATACCTCCCAGGACGGGGAGCTCACTCCCTTGCTGAGACTGTGATCAAGCACATGGTCACGTGATGGTCTGAGAGGGCAGGACCATGCCCTGGGGTTCCCTCCGGATCCTCAGGCTGAGAGAATGGCTCGGTGGTCGGTGTTTGCGCTGAGAGAAGGAAGGTGCTGCAATCTCGGCCATCAACCCACCCGACCCCACCAAGACCACAAAGAGCAAGCCTCCAGCCCCCTGGCTCCCCTGAGCTCAAGTGTCCGGCCAGGCCCAGACCTGGGGAGGGTTTGGGGTGAGGGAAGAATCCCCCCCCCCCCTAGGCCCCATCTCCATGAAGTAAGTTCCATGGACCTTCTCAACCCCACGCCTACCCAGACTCACCCGGCAGCGCCCAGCTCCTGGCTCCCACGTGGACCCCCACCGGCCCACCCTGGAAGACAGAAAAGCCAACCACACTGCAGGACAACACGGAAGCCAGGCCCCGCCCCGGCCCGGGCCTGGGCAGGACTCCCAGCTAACCAGCACATTTCCAGAGCTTACTGAGCACCCTGCCCTGCAGAGAATGTGCCCTCCAGGTGGGGTGCTGAGGTCCCCACGTGACTACCAAGCAGAGGAGCCCTGGCCGAGACTTATCAGCATGATGACAAAGGACCAGGACTGAGAAGGGCCGGGCCAGCCACCGGGAGTCCCCCACCTCCTCCTGACGCCAGCTCCTCGGTGCTCTCGAGATGAAATAACTAACTCAGCTCCTCAGAACTTCCTGATGGTGGCGTTTATAAAATACCCGCCTCCAGCGAAAACCGGTTTAACTCAGTGGATAGACCGTCGGCCTGCAGACTGAAAGGTCCCAGGTTCGATTCCGGTCAAGGGCATGTACCTTGGTTGCGGGCACATCCCCAGTAGGGGGTATGCAAGAGGCAGCTGATCGATGATTCTCTCTCATCGATGTTTCTAATTCTATCCCCTCTCTCTTCCTTTCTGTAAAACATCAACAAAATATTTTTTAAAATAATAATAAAATACCCACCTCCAGGCCAAAAGTGGGGTGGGGAGTGAGAGTGACCCATGGCGGGGCCCCAGAAAGTGGGGACCAGCCCCTTCTTTGTGGCAGAGAGGGAGGAAAGTGATGAGCTACATCTCCAGTCTCCCCTCCCACCTGGGGGTCTCGGGACACTGCCCTTCCCCGCCCAGTCCTGCACAGGCCGGCCTGGTCCGCTGGAATACTTATCTGCACGGCTGCTTCCCGCGTGGTCTTGACCGTCAGACATCCCCTCCTCTCACTTCCGCCCCAGGAACTGGCTGCGCTCTGTAAAGAGACCCTCAGAGGAGCATCATGGGACCTCAATCAGGAGGAAGGCTTTGACGGAAGGACTGGCCACCAGAGAATTCCAGGGGTCCCTCCTACCTCGGAGAGTCCGGTCTCGGCGCCTATGGATCTCACGGTGGACCAGCTGGGTGCATGCCTGGCTGGTCTCTGCCCCCCCGTGGGTGCACAGAGAGGAAAGGTCGCCTTGGTTACTCCTTTGATGCTGTGAGGGCCGTGGTGGGCTTGTGATGGGTCTGGAACTCCTGTCATCAAGAGAGGGGGGGTGTGTAGGAACACACAGGCACCTGAGGGCACGTGGGAGAATAGATGCCAGGGGTCCTGGTCCACAAACTGATCTCTCTGGCTACAGATCAGCAGTCAAACAGGAAACTGGCCCGGCTGGGGTGGCTCAGTGGTTGAGTGTCGACCTATGAGCCAGGAGGTCATGGGTTTGACTCCCATTCAGGGCACAAGCCCGGGTTTTGGGCCCGATTCCCAGTGTGGGGCGTGCAGGAGGCAGCCGATCCATGATGCTCTCTCATCAT